GCCTTCATGCGTATTTTCCAGAAGTCAAAATATTCACCACAGAATAGAGGAGGCTTGTTGTTACTACCACCATCTCTGAAAACGAGTTGATGATTTGCGGAAGCCATTCTGGATCTCTAGGAGAAGGTTATCTATAACTTGCTCTGATACCAATTGTAAGTTTAAGATTGTCCTAAGAGGGGGGGGGGGGTGAATTAGGTAGTGGTCGATTTTTGACTTATTTTATACTTTCTGGTTTTGTTTTAGTGCTTTGGAAAAACTGTAAAGTACAGAAAGTAAAGAGACACGGAGATTTATCCTGGTTCCTTCCACACCCCGGAAGTACGTCCAGTCCCCTTGCAAACACGCAAGAGATTTCAATATTTTGTTAGAACTTTTACAAGACTCTTCCTAGTCTTATCAACTAAAGACTCTAACAAATACCAAGAACACCCTCTTGGATTTCCAATAAGTCTCTTGAGAACAATCCTCTCAAAAGATACCTCTTGTTTCCAACAATGGACAACAAGGTACACAAGTATTCCAATACTTAATTCCAACAATCCTGGAAATAAGTTACACTTTGTATAATTCTATGAAATATGATTTCTTGAAAGATGTTGATCACATAGAGTGACTTCAATGAAGTTTCTTCTTTCTTCTCTTGTAAGCAATTCAAACTGTAACACAATGGTTAGATAATGCTCAAAGATTTCTGTTCTTATATGTGTGAAAGTGCAGAAAATCTTTGTTCTTAAAAGTTAAGAAATATGAAGTTTGAATATTTTACAAAGTTCAGAATTATTGCATAAGAGAAGAGAATAGTTGTTTTTTTTAATTTGAAAGATTTAGTATTTAAAGTAATCAAGATACCTTTCCAAATGGACACTTTTCTGTTTGAAAAACTTGAGAGGATGCAATGTATGACCATGCATCTATTGGAGAAAAGGTGTGAAGGATATCTTGAAACCAGTTCAGATTTTTCACAAGTTACAACGTGTAAATCGATTAGCATGAGATGTAAATCGATTGCACGGGTTTGTAACGTTCTTGTTTTCAAAAAATTTGAAGTGTAAATCGATTAGCATGATGTGTAAATCGATTTACAAGTGTTAAAAATTCAACTCAGTTCTGTGATCAATCGATTTACACTTTATGTAAATCGATTGCTGCCAGAAATAATCAGTTTTTGAAAAAGCATGTGTAAATCGATTTACATCATATGTTAATCGATTTACATCAGTGAAAAACTTAAAATTTGTTTTATACTTTAAGTGAAGTGTTGTGGTAAGTGTGTATATCATTTTTGAGCATTTCTAATCAATATAGTTCAAATGAGAATTGATATACTTGATTGCTTGTCATGATCCTTGAAGATTTGAGTGAATGATGCTTTAAGCTAATTCCACTTCTTTTCCTTCTTGCCATAGTGCTTGTTTGTCTTTCATCAAACTAGCTTGTTTGTCTTTCATCAAAACTAAAGTTGAGTTGAGGCTTGAGATTACAGAATTGATTCTGATTAAAAATAAATTGAATATAAATAATATTGATTTAAGTGGAGAGATAAAAGTTTGAGTTCTATTTTCAAATCCTAATCAACTCTTTTAGAAACAAATTAATTCCACTCCAAAACATTTAACCAACATGTCTTCATCGGCAAAATGATAAATCAAAGGGTTTCAGTATAGTTGCTCTCTTAACTAACAAATTAAATTAATGATCATTTAGACTCGTGCGATGCGTGAGATTGAGATTAGTTATTTAAGTATTATTAGATTAAATAATATATCTTGGTTATGTGTAGTATAAAAAGTTTTCTAGTTGAGACAATAAGATGAAGATAATATTAAAAAATAATTTAAAGTATTTTTTTTTAATTATAAAAATGGAAGATAAGACATCAAAATAAAAAATGATATATGTGAAATAAATATATAAAATTTAAGTTTTTTATTGTTACATTTTTTATTTTTTAAACATCTCTAAAAATGTGTTTTCACCATTTTATGAATTGAATACGTTTCATATTCAAAATATTCATATAGTACGTAATCAATCATCATAGTTAACATAAGATCTAAGATGCAACTCTCTATTTTACAATGTCTTATTGTGTGTTTGAAACCACGTTGACAATGAAAAAAGCACGGTGCAATTGCCTCCCACCGTGGAATATGTTTATGAGATAAAATACTATATTATGTGTTTTATACGAAAAAATATACTAGACACAAAAAATTGTAATGATTAATATATAAAAAAATAAAATAGAGAAAGAATTTGTGGAATATATTATAATAAAAGTGTTTTGTTTTAGTAATTATAAGTAGAAGTTTGCACGTTATATTAAAATGAATATTAAAAAATTTCTATCGATAAACTTTGAAAAATTTCACATCATATTTTAATTGATGTGGCAAAAGAGATGATGAATTGTCAATCAAATAGTTTAAGAGATGATAAATTATCAATAAAATAATTTGTGTCTCAGAATTAATATATTATAATAGATAAATAGATAATAGATAATAGATAATAGATATATAATAGATTTCTATACTTTGAAAATAAAATCATTTCATAAGAAAAAATATTATTTAACTATTTTTAAGTATTATACATTGCTATATTTTTTCTTGACTTGACTCATGCTTTAGAAATCCTTCAAAATGATTTTACACCTCAAAAATCAAATTTTCTCTTTCTAAGAAAGGAACCAAACATATACATATATATGGAGAATTCAACAAAACTGTAAGGAAAAGTGTAAATGCATTGCTTTGGTTCCATTATAAGTACACAACTGCAACTGAGATTTTACACACGCACACACAAGCATATGTATTTGTAACATGGTCTATCTTCCTTGATGACATAGTGTACTGAACTTGAAATAAATTCATGAGTATAGTGTTACCAAATTTGTGCACGATCAATCAATATCATACAGCAATGCATTGCAACACATGTACCCAAAAAAACCATACATTGCACCTCAGCAATTCTTCCTCCAGTGACACACTAGACTGTTATATATATGTAAATTATGTGGTCCTTGCTAGCTAGTTGACTGTGATCTATACCAGAAGCACTGCATATATATATATATATATATATATATATATATATATATATATATATATATATATATATATATATATATATATATATATATATATATATATATATATATATATATATATATATATATATATATATATATATATATGCAGTTGTATACATGTTTAGGGTTAACTATGAATCAATGTTTTTTTTATATCCGCAAAGTTTTGTTGGTAATTTGTGTTATAGTAATTAGTCAACAAAAAATTTTATTATGGATTATTGATCTAATGGTTGAAAAAATGTATGCATTATACAACAATATCTTATTTGTGCACCATAAAATTAATTTAATCATGGTAAACAAGTTTTTAGAGGTAGAGGAAAAGAATATCTTTTAATCTGAAAATGGTTTTTATGTAGATCAAAGGGTTAATTCATGCTGGTTGCAAAAATTCTATCATGTATTTTAACCAATAATTCATCGAGTGTTTGTCATAATTCTGAAGTTGATAACGATATATAGTTTTTTTTTCTTTTCTGGAGCTTGATCAATTGATGATGGTTTTTGTGATACAAACTCTAATATGAATCTTAAAGAGTTGGTCTCTAGATATTCGCGTGTTTTTCAATCTTATTTGTTTTGTTTTAGTTTCTTGTTGTTATTATTAGTTGTGGTATTATTTTTTTTTGTTAGATATTTATTTGTATCATTGATAGTATTTTCAGCATTTTTTATAATAGGGATCATCTGTATTTTGGTGGCTTTCAAATTTTTTATCAATATATTATTTTGTTATTAAGGTGTAATGTTATTTTATTATATAATATACATTTGTTTTTTCAACTGAAACATTTGAGTGAATTTTCTAGCACTTTTTAGTTGATTAAAGATTTCTGTGAGAATTGATCATATTTAAATATGTATCTAACACAAATCTCAAAATAAAATATAAAATAGAGTTATAATTTTTTTAATAAAGTATCACTTCCCTTCTTCAGATTTTATTTAAAAAACAGAAGACTTATCATAAACTTCAAATTTATGTGTATATATATAGTTTATGCTTAGATTAACATTATAATTTGCAAAATCACATTATGTTAATTACTTTAGTATAACAAAAAAATAATATTTAAAGTTTTTTTCTTGTTCTTTTTTACGAGACTCTTTTTAATTTTTGAAATGTACCTTTAATTATATTATATTTTTTTTCGATCTATAATAAATAGTTACATATAAATTAATTATTTTTCTTTTCTAAAGATAAATTTGTAAAATTATATAAAATAGTCAATACATTTTAATATTTAAGAAAGTTTTCTTAATTTTTTCAATGAGATGTTACATTTATGAATTTTTGCTTCCTTATACCATCAGTACATATACACAGAAACCAATAACCTGCATGCACTGTACATGTTTAACCCAAACAGCAGACAAAAGAAACATGAAGAGAAAGGAGAAAAACAGTAACCAACTGATGAAAACATAATTGAAGGGGGTAACATACCAAGTAATAATATTAATAATAATAATTATACATTTTGAATTCCATCTTCATGCATAATAAAAGTATACAAACTCACCTCATTTGGTGTCAACAACATTTTCCAATAACCAAGTGAACTTTTCCACTTCTTCTCCATCTCTAAACATTCTCCAAACATCATCAACACATTATTTTCTCATAGAATATTCCCCATAAACACATAAAGATTGATCACCTAGTAATCATCAATCTCTATACATAAACCTTGATCAGTTAGCATTATGCATATTGTATACATAATGTCAAAACTTCTATGCTTTCTAACTAACCAATCAACCAAACATAGCAAAATTACAATGACATTGTGATTTTGTCAAGCTCAGAAGTTTAGTTTTTGTCAAAATCACCGTAATTGATACCTGATATCGTGATTCTGTCAAACTCACTGTCAATCTTCACATGCACTCAGTTGTTTTGGTTCGCTTTATTGATCTTCAAGCCGAAATTCTCCCACAAACTTCCACCCTCATTAATCAAGAAGGGAAAGCAAGCATCACCATTAGCAACATTAGCAACATTAGAATCAGAAGGCGAAGAACCATGATCAACATTTCTTTGTAGCTTCACAATCTCTTCTCTTTGATGATTAACATCACAATAACCACTTCCTTGATTGTACATAGAACATTGTTCATTATTGTTGAAGTAAAAATTCTCCTTTCTCTTCTTGTTTCCTTCTTGTAAAGATAAAGAATCCCTTTGATAGTTATTATCAGTACCTCTCACAGTACTATTCAATATCTCACTCCCATCTTCATTTTGGTTTTCAATGTTGTTTTGATGAATCTCACCTTCATTTATTACATTTACACCCTTATGATTATGACCTTCAAGTTCAACCTTCATTTCTCTTCCACCTATATTCTTCAAAGCTTCCATTAAAGCAGCATCCCTAGCTTCAATCCATGCTCTCTCTTTACTCCAAAACCTTTGTTCCTTTTCTACCCTTTTCGCTTCTTGCGCCCTCCACTCTTCCTCTCTCAAAACCCTCTCCTTTTCCTTATCCTCAAGTGTCTTCACAAGTTTACTCAACCACTCTTCTTGCTTATCCACAAGCTTCTTCATTTGTGAATCAATGAACTCTTTTATCTTCACCTTCCAACTCCTCCTCCCACTACTCTTCCTCTTCCCCTTCTCATCATCCGAAGACGAAGTATCAATCTCAAAGTCAGTTGAGTTAGTAGTGAGACTTAAACTATGATCATTATTATGAAAACCCTCTTGGTTTGAAGTTTTTGAAGGGTTTTGAAAATTGAAGTTGTTGACAAAATTGGTTTCTGGTTGACAAGTTTGGTTACTGTTTTCACCATATAAAGCTTCAAGTTGACGAAAGAATCTGTAATTCTTACCATCATGTCTTCCTGCTTTGCCTTCTTTTGTCTTCTTGTAATATTTGTATAGGTTCTCAAATTTCTCCCTGCACTTTTTTCCATTCCTTTGATATCCATGTTCTTCACACATTATCCTAACCAAGATCACATACAAAAAAAATATTATTAAACAACTACCATATTACTAATCAAATGTTTCTTATACTATAAAACATAGACACCCCGGAAACATAGCACTGACAACACATCAATATCAATAATAATTTAAAATTTTTAAATAAATTAAACGTAATCACAAACATCAATAATACAGAATTACAAACAAACAGTTTTCAGAAATATTAATTATATAATAGCACAAAATATAAAAATAAATTAAATATAACCATAAATGATACAAACACATAGTTTTTCAAGTGATATGATTGTTATAATAGCACAAAATTTGAAAATAAAAATGATGGCATTAGTGGTGTAGAAAATAGAAATTTGAAAATAAAAATGATGGCATTAGTGGTGTAGAAAATAGAAATAGAATGTATAGAACCCTAGCTAGTGAGAAGAGTGTGAAGAGAGAGTTAAATTCCTAAAGAAGTCTCATCAAGTGATGTGACGATGAGGTATGAAAATTAATAATTTTATGCAAAGCCATGCAGTGACGTTTTGGTGTTCTTTGTTACCTAGTTATGGAAAACATTAACTAAGCATAGGACAAATCAATTCCTATAGAAAGAGAGTAGTTTTTGAAGAAAGAGCTATAGCCATATAGCTTGCCTCACCTTGATGTCATCTCATACAGATTCAAAAGAGTACAGGTGCAAGCAAAAACAAACATACATTGGAATGGTCAATGAATTTTTTATGATGATAAAAAAGATGAAATTTTAATAAAGTGAAACAAAATTTGCACTTAAAAGAGGGGTACAAAGTTTCAATGTGGAAATAAGAGACAGTGGTAGAACCTTACTAATCTTGGTATCTAAACTTAAATGCTTCACTAACTAAGTAGTACAATAAACAATAAAAACAAGAATGAACTAATTAATCATGTTTAATAAGTATAGTGATTTTAACCTTAAGAAAATTGTTCGCACCACACAACATCATTTCATTGTTTTTTTCTCGAATCCCCAGTGAAGAAATTAAGGCCAAGTGCAGTCATATCATCTTAAATTTAACCAATCCCAATATTTATATATCGAATCTACAATCTAGAACTATCATTTTGTCTTTTTTTTTATTCATTTGTTAAGAATCAAACGAAAGTGACAACAAAAAAAAAAACTATCATTTTGAAATGATTAACATCTTCAAAATAAAGTAAAAATAAAAAAGAAATAAAAAAGAAATAATCTAGCAACAGTGTTGTTGAGTTGAGTATGAAGAAGATGAAGAAGAAAATAATAATTTATATAATGGTTTGAAATAGTTTAAGAAGAGAAAGAATGAAAATGAAAATGAAAATGAAAATATTAATATTGTATTTGTACCTAGAAACTTCATCCCATAAGGGACCCTTTTGATTAGCTTCTTTGAATTTAGGGTCAAGACGAGATCTGATCTCAAGAAGAGTAAGAGTTTCTTGTCTGGGCCATCTTCCAGTGGAAGAGTCTCCGCCGATACAAGCGGTGGTTTCAGGAGTTGAGACACTAGCGGTGGTGGTGGTGGTGGTTGTTGTTGGAGGAGGTGGTGGTGGTTGTTGAACATGAGTGGTTATGTTATTGAAGTCTTCGAGAACATTAACACCACGACCCAACATCATCATCTCGTATTCGTTTTGGTGAGTTGTTGTAGTTAACAAAGCTGTGAGATTCCGGTGACCGGTGAAAAACTCATCGGCTGTTGGTATTGAAGTGAAATGGGTTGACCTTGTTCCGTTAACTAGGTGTCGTAGATCAGTTGACATGCCGTTGTATTGTTGCTGTTGCTGTTGCTGATGGTGTTGGTGGTGGTGGTGACTATGATTGTTATGGTGGTCTTCCATTTTTCATATGTATATATGAGAAAAAAGAAGCTAGGGTATAAAGATGTGATAGAGAGAAAGAGATGAAAAAATAAGTGAGGGAGAGAGTGTGAATAAGCGGCAGAGTCGGATCCTGTCGTGCAGGAAAAAAGGCTCAAATTTGAAGCTAAGGACAATGGTATGGTCCCATGTCTGAGAACAAGTGTGTAATGAGAGAATGAGACTGTGTGAGTGAGAGAGTGAGAGAGAGAAAAGAATAGAGGAGAGTAGAGAGACTCTCTCTTTCTCTCTCTGTCTGTTTATACTATAGTAGTTTTAATTAAGTATTAGGGTGTATGTGTATTAGTGAGTGTGAGAGTACATTAGTCTCTCTAATTTGGCTTTTTTGAACATTAATATGCTGCTTCCTTCTCTGTCTTTGTGTCGTACTGTGGGGGTAGGATCTTGGACTTTAGACTAGTGCTTTTTGGAGAGGGGAGTGAGTGACTTTAGGGTAGACACCCCCCAAAAAAAAGGCCAAAGCCCTAAGGGTTTTATTATTTATATATACATTACTTTTTTTATTTATAAATTTTTCTTCATCTATAAGTAATTGCTACTTAAAAATTATTTTACAGATACACATCTAGTATGTATTTGTAGAAATATACATCTAATGTAACTGAATAATGAGTGTTTTCTTATCGATAAAATATTCTAATGAATTTTATAATACAAATGAATGATTGAGATGATAAAAATATTCGTATTTGCTGTGAATGTTGGTGGATAAATTTTTTTACTAATATAAAATAGAAAATTTGATATATATTTACAGATAAATTTTTTTACGAATATGAGATAGATAATTTAATATATATTCACGGATAAAATGAATAGATATTTAAATATTTATTTGTTAATGAAAATGACTTATATTAAAAAAAATTTAAAGAAAATTTTTCACCCTTCTTTTGTTCAACGTGCAACCGTAGAAACTATACCTTTGGTTAAGCGGTGAAATACCTCCTCTGTCTCATTCAAGTGTTCTTAGACAATTTTTTGTGTCTTTAAAAAAGTTGAAAGTATTTTTTTTCAAAAATTAATTTTAAAATAATGTTATTCATAAATATTTATAAATATAACATGTATCTTAAAAGATGCAGATATTAACACAAATATAAAGTAAATACATATATCATATTTATTTAACATTACATATATCATTATCCCCTTCGTAAATATCTATTTACATTTCTAAACATAAAATATAAAACATCAGATGATATGTCTCTCATCTAGTATCTATTTTGAGAGAGAGAAATATAGACAATAAGGTGATAATACTATAGATATTTTATGGGATAAAATATGGTAAAGAGAAGTTTTTACATGACATTACAATAAATAATATTTTTCATGATAAAATTTTCAAGTTAATTAGAAAAAATCAAGGTATTTTTCTAAGGCACATCATATTTTAATTTTTTATAAAAATAAAAACAATTTGTTCTATCGGTTAATGTAGAAACGGAGGGGATGGACTATTTCGGACATGATTCGAATCTCAGCTACTGTAATTTATATTTTTATTTGTTTACAAGTGTAAAATAAATTATTAAACTCTTCGATTTCAGTGATAACTGAGGGATAAAATAATCAGATTTAGCTATAAAAATATTCGTTAAACAGATTTTACCCTAATGCTATCTTATTTGTGGCAGTCACACTGTCGCATGCATCATTTTTTTTAGATGAATTGTAAAATTAAAAAAATATTCTTCTATCTTGAACGAAATATTTTTTTTCCAGCTTTTGCAATCCATCTCAAACAATGGTGTTGATGTTGTTATTATTGTTGAAGGTTTTAAACAATCGAAGAAAACAACTATGATTTTCTTGGGTTGACAACCTTGAGAAATTTATTCATAAAAGTTCTTACTAATGGATTACAAGTGCAGGAAAAATATTTTTTAATTTTTTGTACAAACACTTTATTAGAAGTTGGATGCATTCAAAGCGTGCATATTGTATACGCTAGTGAAAGCATTGATAATGATAGCATCAACAATCAATCTTGGATGCAAAGTTCTGATATTCAAGCATCAACACCATTATAATAGATTTCAAGTGCAAAAAAACCATTGAAGAGATTTATTATAAACAATTTATTTTAGTATTCTGTGTAGACAATGTAATATTAAAAAAATGAATAATAATTATCACATTGGTTTTTAAACTTAACCAAGGTGATAGTTTAAAGGAGATGAAAATGTATCTCAGTTTTATAAATAAACTGAAGGGTATAATAATCATAATTTATTATAAAAACACTCGTTAAACAGATTTTTCCATAATCCTTAATATTATAAAGGCGTCCCAAAGAGATGAAACCGTCCATTTGATATCTCTTGGATGGATTACAAAAAATAAAAATTCTCTAGCATCTTCAATGGGACCTCGATATTATCTAAATCTTGTTGCATACAATGTATTTTTAATATTCTGTAAAAATATTGTAATTTAAAAAAATGCTTATTACCTCGGTGTTTTGTCATGACCGAGGTGAGAGTTTAGATTAATTTTTTTTCTATATTCATCGGCCTTAACAAATATTTTTCGTCCATTTAATGGTTATCAACGCTCAAGAATCTTCCATTAGTGATTCGTGTGAAACCTAAGGGACATCCATTATAAAAGTTCTCTTGCGATATTGAAAATATAACCTAAATGAAACATATAAAGCGCTTGAAATCTAAGAACGCTTGGAAAAAGTTCTCTACAATGGATTGCAAGAGTAGAAAATCATCTGGGTTCAAGATTTGTTTTATTAAATTTTTATTTATACCGAAAATATTTTTGATTATTGATATTAACTATTTGTATCATTTTTTTCACCAGAAACAAATGCATGTAGGATCAAACAGAAGAACATCTAAGATTCAATAATTCGAATATCTAAAGTCTAAATCTTCAGATATTTTGATTTTTATCTAGACCCGTATAGGGAATTTGATTTTTATCTTAAACCCTAGGAAATTTGACTTTTATTTTAATTTTAATATTTTGTGTAAATAATGTAATATTGGGTAAAGAATGTAATATTCTGGATAAACAATGTAACAATTTAAAAAATAATAATAATCATACCCCTCAGTTTTTTAAATAAACCGAGATGAAATAAACGTCAGTTTTGAAAATAATAAAAGTGAAGTTGTTGGGGTTCGAACCCATGAGCATATAACTATATCCCTCAGTTTTTTAATCACCAAAGTGTTAAGTGTAAACTTTTCATAAAGTTCTTCGTTCCCTCGCTACTTTATCCGAGATAAAACACATTTCACGTCTGAGGTTAAAAACGTTATTTACAGTGGTGTGATAAAGAGATGAAACCCTACTCTCACAAAATATAGTTCAACTTCTTATCAACTTAGCCAATATTCATTATATAAAAAATTAATAAAATGAAATTGTTATATTATCAAAATATTTATTATTTAGAGCTATACGTTGGAGATGGAAAACATTATTGAAAGACGAAACCATACACCCTAAATCCTAGTTTTGAAATATAACAAGTGTTTTACCCCTCAGCTTTTTAATAAATTGAGATAAAAGAAACGCTAGTTTTGAAAATAATAAAAGTATAGTTGTTGGGGTTCGAATCAATAAACATATAATTATATTTTTCGGGTTTTTAATCACTAAAATGTTAAGTGGAAATTTTTCGTGACGTTCTTCGTTACCTCATTACTTTATCTGAGATAAAACGCATTTTACGTCTGAGATTAAAAATGTTATTTATAGTAATCTGACAAAGAGATGAAACCATACTATCACGAAATATGGTTTGGCTTCTTATCAACTTTGACAATATTCATTATATAAAAATTAATAAACTAACCAATATTCATTATATAAAAATTAATAAAATAAAATTGTTATATTATCAAAATATTTATTATTCAGAGCTATGTAGTTGGAGATGGAAAATATTATTGAAAAAGGAAAAAAAATTATAAATAATTTATGAATAATAGTTATTATGGTCTCCATGTAACATGTCTCTAAATTTGTCTTTTTCTTCTTTGTCAATACTCTGTTGGCATTTCAATTGATGTTTTTCATCTATATTATTTTTGGATACATTGACTTAATTATTTCAAAATCAAATACTCATTTTATCCTTCAAATAGTATCGTATTTTATTTAACTAAAAGAAATATTAAAATAATAAGTAATATCAAACTTGTTATGACTAACACATATCATTTTTTCTGAGTGTAAACATAATAATTCAAGTGTTGTAACCGATTAATACGGAGGTGTGATCAGTTACAGTTTAAAGAAAAGTACGTTTAGAAGGAGAAAAAGCAATTTTGAGTTGACGTTAATCAATTATGCATTCGCATTAATCGGTTAGACCTGCTTGTTAATGTTGAGTTTGTATCAGCTGTAACTGATTAACAGTTTATGTTAACCAGTTACAACTACAAGTTTTTGCTTTTTCTGGTTTTTGAATATGTGTTTTGTATCTCAATCACTTTGTAACACTTGCATAAATGTCTTGGAAGCATCATCAGCATTACTATTGCAAATTATTATTCTTACCCTCAATTATCTCTATTTAGTTCTCTTCTCTCTCACTATCTCTTTCTCCATATACTTCGTAGTTTACTAATGTGTGCTTGTATGTTTCAACATTTGGCATCAAGAGCTTGGTTCTGATCCACAAACACGTAGTGTGCAACAATGAATTTTATACCCAATGATAGAGTCCATGCAAAGCTACCAACCCTTGATGCAAAGAATTAGGACAAATGGTGCAAGAAAATAAAGGTGTTGTTTGGCTACAAAGATGTTTTTTAAGTGATCAAGAATGGGGTGAATCCCTTTGTCGAAGGTGCAATAGATGCACATCATGAAACCCACAAGGAAGAAAAGAAGAAAGATTACAAAGCGATGTTCTTGATCCATCAATGTGTGGATGGTGACAACTTTGAGAAAGTTGGTGATTGTGAGTCAGCAAAGGAAGAGTGAGA